TGACAACTCCCTGCTGCCCATTAGAGCTGGAAGGAGTGTTCTCAGGGAGGGATAAATGGCACAGGCCTTACTAATGAAGGGAACAATAGTTAGGGCACAAGGGCACAGCCACAAACTCCTTAGTAACCAACTCTGATTAGCGAGAAGGTGGCAAAAAAGTGCAGGCACAAAACACAGGCATTAGCAGCTGAGAAAGACTCTTGTCTCATAAGGATTAACTGAATAGAGCCAAAAGGAAAGTAAGGTTAAAGAGGCCTTCCTAATTCTTTAAGGTGGTAATATTTCTGGGAGTAAAGATTAAAAGCTTTGAGAAAACAGAAGAGCCTAAGGAGTAATGGCTGAACCATATTAGGAAACAGGATTATGACCTAATGCATTATAGCCTAATATTCATGATGTCATCATATTAAGGGACAGAGAACATAGAAAGAAAAAGAGAAATCTAACAGTGCTCCCACTTTCCATGTGTGATTTGATACCAGACCTGGTAAGGAGTGTTTCTGAGAACAGGATTACTTCTCAGTCTTAATCAATCTGTTTAAATTACACCAGTGACAGCATACTCAGTGCTATGACTACTTAAGATGAAGAAACAGCTGACTTCAGGGGACATGAAAGCCAGTCCCACTGTGCAATTGCTATCTTACCTTGCTCAAGGTATCCCAAGGCCTGCCTGACAAACTCCATGCGCACTTCCACACTGCTGCGGCTCTTCAGGGCATCAGTTGCTGGTGCCAACAACACATCTGTCATTTGTTTTACCATGGTCCACATGTCAGAAATGCTCTGCACATAAATGAGACTGCATGTGACAAAGCTGCAGGGCTGGAACATTTATTTGGTTCTTAAGAGTATTCTGACCTCAACATCAGACAGGATGAGGTGAACGTCTTCTGTCTGAAACCTCCCCCAGGCTCAAACTCAGTGCAGAAATGTCCTGCCAACCCCCAGAGGTCGATCCACCTCTGGGGATCTACCTCCCACCTGCCTTGAGTTGGGTTTCAGATCAATTACCATTCCAGGCTTGATATAACCAGTTACATAATTAAATATAAAAGTAACAAGAACACTAAATCTCAGTGGGTTACCCCTTAAGAGATGGCAGAAACATTTATAATTGTCCAGAGCTCTAGGAGTATAAACTCAAGTGCTGCATTTCAGTCCTTACAAGGTTATTTGAGTTTCTTAAGCTTAAAATAAGAAGTGTAACCTAAATAATATAAGTTTTGTCCTCCCAGAGACTCTCCAGGGCTGCTGCTCTTACCCCATTTTGTGAGAGTCACAACCTCCCATTTTCCTTCCCACTCACTCCCTTCAAAAGTGCCTCCTGGGAAGGAGCAGCATTCTTTCCTTTGTGTTACCCCACACAGCAGGCCCCCTCTCTGGACTCCTCTTGGCTGACAATTTCTCCTTAAAAATGTGTCCCCTGAGCATTGGCAATATTCTAAAGAAGACAGCACCAACTGGAGAAACACAGTTTTCACATTTGTTTTTCCAAAACAAAACAGAAAACCTGTTTACAAGGTCTCCCTCAAAAATTAAAGTGTATTCAGCCAAACGTGGCTTGTTCTAGGTGATGGGGTAATTGATGAACTCTTACTTTCTTCTGTGGATCTGTTTGAATTGCCTTATATTTTATTATCTAAGAAAAGTTAGATGTACTTTTGAAAAAAACAAAAACAAAACAAAAAACCTGCATGTGGGTGCTTGCTCCCCAATATCCTTCCCTTCTTTTACCCTCCTAGCTATCTACTGCTTCCTGTTCTTTCTACCTTCCTCCTGGCTATCTACTGCTTCCTGTTCCTCTCTACCTCCTCTGGCTATTACTGCTTCCTGTTCTCGTCTACCTTCCTTCTGGCTATCTATACTACTCCTGTTCTCCTCCCCAGAGGAATGGAGGGAGAATAAAAATTGGCATATCCAATATCCTTCCCTTCTTTTACCCTCCTAGCTATCTACTGCTTCCTGTTCTTTCTACCTTCCTCCTGGCTATCTACTGCTTCCTGTTCTCTCTACCTTCCTCCTGGCTATCTACTGCTTCCTGTTCTCTCTACCTTCCTCCTGGCTATCTACTACTTCCTGTTCTTCCTCCCCAGAGGTAATGGAGGGAGAATAAAAATTGGCATATCAAGTTCTAGGGGATTGCACAAACCACATCACTTCTGTAATTCAGCTCTCCACAAGGAACTCTGCTGGTTTTGAGGAATAGTTAACATTTTATTCCACAGAAGAGAATGTCTCTTCAGTGCATTTCAGCCAACTCAGCAAGCTGCTAATCCCATCTAAACACCAAATCCATGTTTCCACAGGGGTTAGCTACCTTATCATCCAGCTCTGCCACAGAAGCACACAGGTCCACAAGATTAGGCTGCAGGTGTCCGTTTACAATCTTCTCATTATAGATGTATATCTGAAATGATGGAAAGCAAAGTAAATGGTACAATTTCTATTTTCACTTCAAGACCTCCTGAAGCAGTTCTGAAGCCAGCAGTCAGTAGAAGCTTCTGCCAACTTTCTCTTCCTCAAAGTGGCTAAGCCATTTAGAGGGCAGCTATCCAGCTCCGTGGGCAATACACCAAAGCTAACTGCTACCCCAGCCTTTCAAACACCTGAAGAACAAGAACAAGGTGGTCCTGAAAGAGGAATGCCAAAGGCAGAGAGCAAAGAGGAAGCTGGCAAGATAAGCCAATGGAGGGCTGGGTGCTGGTGGTTCACTCCTGCTGTAATCCTGGCTACTCAGAATGCAGAGATCAGAAGAATCATGGTATCTTAATATCAGACCACAAACTCTAAAGTTGATACAGGAAAGAGTAGGAAATACTCTGGAGTTTGTAGGTATAGGTAAGAACTTTCTCAACGAAACCCCAGCAGCACAGCAACTAAGAGATAGCATAGATAAATGGGACCTCATAAAACTAAAAAGCTTCTGTTCATCAAAAGAAATGGTCTCTAAACTGAAGAGAAACCCACAGAGTGGGAGAAAATATTTGCCAACTATACATCAGACAACAAGGACTGATAACCAGAATATATAGGAACTTAAAAAACTAAATTCTCCCAAAACTAATGAACCAATAAAGAAATGGGCAAGTGAATTAAACAGAACTTTCTCAAAAGAAGAAATTCAAATGGCCAAAAAACACATGAAAAAATGCTCACCATCTCTAGCAATAAAAGAAATGCAAATTAAAACCACGCTAAGATTTCACCTCACCCCTGTTAGAATAGCCATCATCAGCAACACCACCAACAACAGGGGTTGGCGAGGATGCAGGGAAAAAGGAACCCTCCTACACTGTTGGTGGGAATGTAAACTAGTACAACCACTCTGGAAAAAAATTTGGAGGCTACTTAAAAAGCTAGACATTGATCTACCATTTGATGCAGCAATACCACTCTTGGGGATATACCCAAAAGACTGTGACACAGGTTACTCCAGAGGCACCTGCACACCCATGTTTATTGCGGCACTTTTCACAATAGCCAAGTTATGGAAACAGCCAAGATGCCCCACCACTGACGAATGGGTTAAGAAAATGTGGTATCTATACACAATGGAATTTTATGCAGCCATGAAGAATGAAATGTTATCATTCGCTGGTAAATGGATGGAATTGGAGAACATCATTCTGAGTGAGGTTAGCCTGGCCCAAAACACCAAAAATCACATGTTCTCCCTCATATGTGGACATTAGATCAAGGGCAAACACATCAATGGGATTGGACTTTGAGCACGATAAAAGCGAGAGCACACAAGGGAGGGGTAAGGATAGGTAAGACACCTAAAAAACTAGCTAGAATTTGTTGCCCTTAACGCAGAGAAACTAAAGCAGATACCTTAAAAGCAACTAAGGCCAACAGGAAAAGGGGACCAGGAACTAGAGAAAAGGTTAGATCAAAAAGAATTAACCTAGAAGGTAACACCCACACAGGAAATCAATGTGAGTCAATGCCCTGTATAGCTATCCTTATCTCAACCAGCAAAAACCCTTGTTTTCCTTCCTATTATTGCTTATACTCTCTCTACAACAAAATTAGAAATAAGGGCAAAATAGTTTCTGCTGGGTATTGAGGGGGTGGGGGGGAGAGAGGGGACAGAGTGGGTGGTAAGGGAGGGGGTGGGGGCAGGGGGGGAGAAATGACCCAAGCCTTGTATGCACATATGAATAATAAAATTAAAAAAAAAGAAGAATCATGGTTTGAAACCAGCCTGGACAAATACTTCCAGACCCTACCTTGAAAAAAAAAATCCATCACCAAAAAAAAGGGCTGGTAGAGTGACTCAAGATAGGCCGAGTTCAAACCCCAGTACTGCAAAAAAAAAAAAAAAAGACAATGGAGGGGTTTCAGGTGCTGCCTCCTAAGAACCATGCCAAAATCTAGCAAAATTCAGGCCAAAGGACTAAATGGCCCCAGGTCCAGGGCTCATGGATTGAATAAGGGATGTCAGGTCATACCTCTCCTTCATATATGTTAGAATAGCAGCTTGTACTCATCTGGAATATCCAATTCTCCTGGTGGGGGGGGGGAGAGGGAGGGATGGAGGGATGGAGGGAGGGAGGAAGGAAAGGAAGAAAGAAGGAAGGTGTGATGCTACTTTGGATTTTGTTTTTTAAGTACTAAAGTAATGATGGTTAAAAACTAGAGTTCTTTTGTGGAAGACTTCACTTTGTATCTGAAATCCTTGCTGTACTAAGGACTGACTAGAGCATGGAAGTTAGACAAATCATTTCACCCCACTGAACCTGAGTTTCTTCTATTCTAAATGGAGAGTGGTTATGTCATTTAGCTTCCAGGGCTATTATACAGATTGACTAAAATGGTTTTAAACCATAAAGCACTGCTTATTTACTCAACGAGTGTTTCTCAGGAGCCTCCTTTTGCAAGGTGCTGTTTTCAACATAGGACATAAAGATTCATTCTCCACTGAAAGGGAAGAATGGCCATATCAATGGAGGGAGTCAGCCATATAATGAGGTTAAAATTTAAAGGATATTGATGTGCAAGGGGTGTAAGAAAAGAGATCTAAAACTTGGAGCAGAAGAAAATGAAGGCCAGTGGTGAAACACAGACTTATATGAAAGGGAAACTCCTCTGTGGGAGCTGACAAAGCCAGCTTCAGCTGCCTAGAGTTTGAAGTAGCAATGGTACACTGAAGGAGAGAGACTTTTAAAAGGCATTTAGGAAATTTCTTTCAATAAGGGTTAAGAGGATTTCTGTCAGTACCATGAGCCTATCAGGTGTCCAGTTAACGCAAAAGTCCATTAACTAATTACCTTTCAGTGAAGACAGACCTCTATAAAAGAGCACAGGATTTCAGTTTCTCTCAACCCTTTGCTCCCTCCATACACTGCCATCTGCTTCTGCCTCCAATCACCTTACTTCAGACTCGGGGGAGGAAAGGAAGTAGGTAATCCTGAGGGCTACAAGAGGCACCAATGTGTTCTCCCTCAGACTCACAGGAGTTAATAATGGCTGAGCAGGGGCAGGATGATCTGAAAGGGGATAGAAGCTCAATCAATAGGAACATTTTCCCTCCTTGATAGTTTATGGAAGAAAGTGGCAGTAACTATAAAATACACCAGTGGCTGGTATTACTTTATTCAAAAAGTCAACCTTAGGTATGTCCTTAGGACAGTCTCAGTCTAACTGAGTGCCTATGTTCACTACAAAGCATCTTAATTCATACTTACTTCAACAACCAGAAGCATGATCCCCAGTACACCAGTAGCTTCTCTAAGACAAAATACCAAGTAGTACTCAGTACACTGTGCTTGCCAAAGCTAAAAAGCATTTAGAAAATTTCTTTCAACAATGGGTGAAAGGAGGATTTCTGACCATATCATTAGCTGACCAGGTAATTCAGTTAATACAGAACTCCATTTGCTAGGCAATGAAGTAATTCATGACTTCCCTCTACAAGCAGTCATTGCCAACAATACAAAACCGCATGCCCTGGTTAGTGGAGAGGGCAGATTTCCATTTATTTCCCTGCATCAAACCTGATTCATTCTATTGCCCTATTTAATAGAAGTCTCCAGTGGCACATATGGTAAAATATTAACCAGACCTCCAAATGAAAACCCAACTTGATTTCAGGTTTGAGTTACACAAGAAGTCACTGTTCTCTTTGATTCACCAGAAGCTCACAGGATTTTCCTGGATTAAATCTTGAGAACACACTCACCTGCCGGGCATAGGCCATCTCAATGCTGTCCAGAGAGCTTCGACCAGGGGGCCCCACATCACTGACATAACTTGGCTGTAGGTAAAGACAATCCAGAATTGGTTAAGAATAGTACTCAGTCACGTGAAGAAATAAAAATCACACCAACATATCTCTGTCTTTCTCAGAACCGTGAGGAATCTTTCCTGGTTAAAATTTTCTCAAAATAATTGTTTCAATAAAATGCAACTCTCTTACCATGAACATGAGAAGAGAATAGGCAGGAGACTGGACTGATTAAAAAGTAAAAGGAGAATCTCTATCTACCATGTGAGGATACAGTGAGAAGGTAGTCAGTATGCAAGCCAGAAAGAAAGCCCTCACTAAGAAACAGAATTGATCAGCACCTTGATGATGTACTTTCCAGCCTCTGCAACAAATTCCTGATGTTAGAGTCACTCAGTCTATGTGGCCCCAGCTGACTAATAATAGAGACTCTGTTCTAGATGCTGAGGGTGTGGAAGACAACAGAAATACCTGCACTCAGGGAGCTTATATTCTAATGAGGCTAGATGGTCAAGAAGCAAGATAAATAAATAAGGAAATAATACAGTTTGTCAACTAGTAATAAACATGTCAAGAAAAAATAAGTAGGAAAAGGAACAAGGAGGCCAGAAACAGTGTAATTCTGTAATCCTAGCTCAGGAAGTGGAGATTAGGAGGATGGTGGTTCAAGGCCAGCCCAGGAATAAAGTTCATGAGACCCCATTTCAATCAATAAAAGCTGGGCAAGGTGATGCGCACCTGTTACCCCAGCTATGCAGGAAACATAAATAGGAGGAAAGCAGTCCAGGCTGGCCCAGGCATAAATGGAAGCCCCTACTCAAAAAATATCTACAGCAAAAAGGGTTGGGTTGGAGGTGTGGCTCAAGTAGTAAAGTGCCCGCCTAGCAAACACATAGTCCTGAATTCAAACCCCAATACCACAAAAAAAAAGAAAGAAAGGGAATGAGGGTGTTGAGGGTATAGGTAGTGGTCAGTTTCAATTAGGATGATCCAGGAAGGCCTTCCTATGAAGGAGAAGTTTGAACAAAGACCTAAAGCAGATTAAGACACTGATGTGGATCCTGGGAGAAAACTCTACAGGCAGAGAGTGCAGAGACTCTGTTTCCTGTGCTTTCTTCATACTATCACTGACCTCAAATTCATATTATACTTTGGTTATCCTTAACTACTAATGTCTTATGCCTCTACATCTTTGTTTATTGTTCTCCTTCAGTTTATGATCTTCATCCTCATTTATTTTTCTAGAAAATATTTATGTAAAGACAGAAGACAATAATTGTACCAATTTGAAAACAAAAAGTAAAAGGAGGCTGGATAAGTCCTATTGATGATCTAACGACTATTTCTGGAAAGACACATCTTTCCAGCATTCAGTTTCAATCCCAAGCCCCCTCCATCTCATCTTCCTTCCTATGTCTTCACATCAGCTGAGGCCACGGTTATTAGTCAGTGAGCTCCTGTGTGCACTGATCATATTCAGGCAGTAGAGGGAATAGAATCTGCAGGGTCACAATACCAGGTTCAGACATTTCCAATCTCAAGTCTACATTAAGGCAACAGCTACTGATTAATTTGCTGTGTCTGAAGATGTGAAACCAATCAAAGCTGGGCAGTCATTCATTCAGTAAACACATGCTAAGTGCCTGCCACATGCACTGAGTGTGTATACCCATCCCCACAGGATGATAAAAAGCCAGCCTACAGTTTACCATCTGCTGGGGAGAACTACACACAAATATATGAGAAAAGTTTATTAGTCCTTTTAAAAGAAAGACTGAAAGTTCATCTTAAGCTAAGTTTACTACTCACTATAAACAAATGTGGATCAAAATTAGGTTCATTCTTAAATTTCCAATGTTAGTTTGTAGTACCATAGCAGAGATAAAATTGTTTAGGCTTAGCTCATTTGAAAAAATGCTCTACCCTCCAAAATCTAAAACAAAGCAGTCTGAAGTCGGGTTCCTGAGAAAACAATGGAAGATGTCAGCCAAACTTCCCAGCATGATAAAAGTGGTAAACAGCAAACCAGAGTGAGTTTAAGTGGAGTGCACTAGAGAGGAGGGGCAGGAAACAGAAAGAAGTAAGCCCTTGGTTCTGGAGAATGAACACTGGGCCACTTAGGACATCAAGGCTGTAGGAGGGTCACTTCATTCCCTAGTTTTTGGGTCGACAGCAATGCAGTTTCTTGGAGCTCTAGATTCTCATCAGTCAGATGAAGGACAACCCTGACAGGTCCCGTTCAGTTCTTACCCTTAATGATTATTAGCATACCAAGAACTGATCTTGGTAGATGATGCTGGATGATTGACCCAGTGACCATTCCCATTCCTTGCTTCTCACCTTTCCTCCCTTTCAGGTCAGTATATAGAGTTAAATATACCCTATGGTGTGCTGGTAAATTTTTAACAACTGGCTCTTGAGGAAGAGGACCTGATGTGTAGCATTTGCTGGTTTCTCTGGTGTAAATACCCTCACCATAGCAGATTTCAAGCCACCAAGGTGATACCAATTAGTTTGCAATTAGATTGCAAACAACAGTAAGCCCATGAGGTAGCCCCTACACATTACTGGATATAGCTTTTTCCAGCTACAGCTAGGAATGGCCATGTGTCCTAGTTCTAGTCAATGAGCTGGAAACACAAGCCTGCTAGTGCATTTGGAGACAACTTCTGCTTTTCAGATAAAGAGTTATTGGGTGGGGGGGGGGGTTGAGAAAAAAGAGCCCAGCATAACCTTCTAGCTTTTTCTCCCCACTTTTTAGCCCTGAATGCAAAAGCAATATCTAAGTGTACAGCAGCCATCTTGCTTGACTCAAATACACAGATATACTACAGACGATAGTGTGCAAAGATGGTAACAATAGTTGCATTTATCCAGCACTTACTGAATTTATTGAGTACTGTGTGAATTTTCATGTATTAACTCCTCAACACTATGAAGTAGGTACACAAAGACACACAGAAAGGCGAAGCCATTTGCCAAGTTCACAGCAGCAGGAGGCAGTAGAGCTGAGATCAGAAGTCACAGTCTAGCATTCTGTGCTCTCTGCCACACTTGAATCTGCCTACTGGGGCAGCCTAAGATAACCTCCCAAAGATAGCCACCACAGTGCTTGTTGTTGTTGAAGAAATAAAAATAAGAACTTTATTAAAAATAGTCATGAAACCATTAATTTGAAATATACTAGCAGCACTGAATAGGAAACCACATATAACAAACAGGCAATTCTAAAAATTACCATGAAGAATTGACAACCTTTAGTGTATAATAGCACAATTTACATTAACAGTCAGAAAATCAAAAGATAAATAATATCTGTAAGATGCTGAATAGAAATAATCATCAACCTAAATTTTAACCCCTGTTTAACTATCAATAAAGAGTGAGATAAGAATAATTTCCAGCTTACAGAGGCACTATAAAAATGAACACACTAGAAATCCTCACTGAGAAAACTACTAAGGGAAGTGCTTCAACAAGGAGCAAACTGTACCCAGAAGAAAAGTGAAGGACTCAAGAAAACCATAGGGTTTCTAAATGACAGCAAGTTTAAGTTTAGCAAGAGTATAAATTCTACATTGTTTTTGTGCTTTCAAGAAATGTAAAGTTAAACTAAAAATGAAGCTGGACATACTTAGAGGGGAGTTAAAATATTCTAGAAAATAAGAAAAATACTAAAGGCTTTTTATCTGCACTTTAGGTATCATGATTGTAGTTAAGAATATATGCTGAAAATTTTTTTAACTATTAAAAGTACATACATAAAATATATATCTTCCAAGTGAACAGAGAGAAATAGAAGAACAGAAAAAAAACTCAAAAACTGAAGGAAATATTTTTTTAAAAAAGAAGGAAAGAATGGTGGTGAACAAAAACATAATGTGAGTTGGTATAAATATATAAATAATCACAACAAATAAAAATATATTAAATTCGTTGTGGCCTACAGTGAGTTGTCTTTCAGATCCTTCTGTTTCTTCTGCATTTTTGCCACTTATCCCAAAATGTGCTGCTGAGTGTAGCCATGTAGCTATGTTCTCACCAATGCTGTATAAATGAAAAACATTTTTGTCTTTTCAAAGTCTTTGTTTTAAGACCCATGTCTTGGATCCACTCCATATGCTGGTGGGAAAAGGTTGTGTCAGGAGAAGTCTGGGAAGCTATGCATTGAGGATGGAAAGGCCATGACATCACTGAGGCCCTGGATGACATCCTTGAGTGAGGCCTGTCCATCTGCCATGCACTATCACATAAAAGAAATAGTCTTCTATCTGACATAAGTCACTGAGCCTCAGAACTTTTTGCTATAGTATATTTGCTTTCTCCAACAAATTCATTTATAAAAAGTCAGAGACAGAGATATTGATTAAAAATCAATCCAAAGAATGTTTATAAGAACACCCTAAAACAATGTCATATACAAAGACTCAAATGTTGAAAAAAATTTTACATTTACAATACTAAACAATATAGTGGGACAATATTAATAATGAGGAAATATTTACATTTAAATATTAAACAATAAAGATGGTATGGCATGTGTACACATGCATGTAAATACAAAAGTGGTATGTACTGAAACTGTTCCATGAATTGGGGGAGGAAGGATAAAGGGGAGCAGTGCAGGGGGTGAATTCATATATGATATATTCAATACACCGTAAGAACTTTTGTAAATGCCATGATGTACCCCAACCAGCACAAAAATAAAGGGGAAAACAAAAGTCACAATACCCTCCCCCACCCCGTATGACTATTATGTACTAATGAAAACAACAAAAAAAGCCCTGTTTGTAGCCAAGGTTACAAATGTGCATCACCATGCCTGGCCCTTAAATTAGATTTTGCCCACGGTATTTTTAAAGAAGGAAGCACCACACCCTTTAAGCCTAGTAACCTATGGGTGGGGAGGGAGAAGGGAGGAAAAGGAAAAGGAGAACAGCAGTAGGGCACTTCTGTAAGGACATAGTTGTTTAGCTATTCTTGAATGGCCTTGAGAAAAATTTCCAGTACTAAAAACCTAATTTTTT